GAGCACAGGACAAAGCACATTGCTCTCCGCTACTTTCTTGCTCGTGAGCTACAGCAGCGTGGACAGTTGCGACTTGCGTACGTGGCCTCTGAGGCCAACACTGCTGATGTCTTCACCAAGGCACTTGCGCCTTGTGATCATCAGCGCTGCTGCACGCAGCTGGGTCTTGTGCCTATCTTGCCTCACTTGCTCACTTCTTGACCTTGCTTGTACCTTTACCTATATATACTCTTGCTCTTGCTTGTTTGACTCTTGTATATCTCTATATGTGATCTTGCATGTGAACTGGCCTTCTGGCCTTTGAGCTTGTGCTCGGAATGTGTGGTGACCTTGTGATCCACCCTGAGCTTTGCTTTGCTTTGCTTGACTGGTCTTGTGACCCCTTGTTCTCCCCCACTTTGCCTATGGGGGTGTGTCAGAACATTATAGCTTACTTATTTGTGTAGGCTATAGTGGGGTATCCCATAAGAGGTACAACCCAATTAGGGTTTCCTATTTGTACTCACTTCGTTCATAGTCATTCTCATTCTCGTTCTAATTTTCTCAATAACCCTTCCATGCCTAGGTCACCACATCTAGACAAATGTGTTGACCTAAATCACGATGGGTTGAGGTGAGGAGTTCCGCCAGGAGAGAACAGTTCACTATTGAGGAGGAGAGGTGGGGAAAGGGGGGCCTTCGGGATTCGGGCGGCAGTGTACAGTCGTGTGGTGGGAAGGGGGGTGGTAGATGGGAGCCGGGTGTGGGGTGGGGTGGGGTGGGGTTGGGTGGGTGGGGAACCAATGACCACCTCTCTTGCTCCGGTCACTCCCAGCTGGCTGGCGTGGCGGGTGGTTTCCCGTTCTCGCACCCCTCCTCAAGTCGCCTTCTAGGGGAAACTGAAGAAGCGTGAACTGAATGTAGTGGAGGGATCCCTTTCGTCTTTCCGCCGATGGGTTCATGCTCTTCCAAATCTGAGACTTGCAAAAAAACGAATCAGAAGTCTCGTCGTTTGGCCTTTAGTATTTGAGAACTATCCGCCAACATGTGGCTGCAATTTTCCTAGAGAATATTCAACCAATGATGAAACTGAAGTGAATAATGACAAACGACAATATCTTCTAGAAACTACCGTACACCTGATGCCCGTTTGAGTCTTTCTCACTTGGGTTGTGTTTTGGGCTTATAAACGTTTTGGGCTTTACGGCCAACTCGTTGCATTTCGCCAGGGTGTTGAGGTGCTTCTAAAAAACACAGGTTGTAACTCGGCTGCTTTTTCCAAAAGAGTGCTGGTGGGCCTGTGTTGGTGTTAGTCCGGGGCTAGGGTTTATGCTTGTTTCTGGCCAGGAAACAAGAACAAACCGGGTCAGCATGGTTTGTTTTGCGCCTAAGATTCATACTTTGGCGTTTTCTCGCCCAAATGCCGCGTGCCTATACCCTGGGTGCAACTGACTAGAAAAACACGGGTGCAGAGTTTCTGAAATATGCAAGGCAAATTTGCGCGCAGTGGTTGGGCATCATGTGTACCCGCCTAATCAAGCAGCAATTACAGGTGGCTCGCTTTGAAGGAAATGCTCTACCAAATTCTCGGCTCTTTGTGATAACGAAACTTCCTTTGACTTCCAAGCACATGTCACCTCTCGCCCATGACTGTCCTTGTGCCCTTTCTCTCGTCCGATCGTAGCTTGTCTTGTTCCTGCTCTGGTTCTTGTGGCGTTTATGGTCCCTGCCGTCTTTTTTGAAGGCATAGTATGCCCTCATGGTCACTGCTGTGCTACAAGTCTCCAGGCAGGTGGTATGCCTCAAGTGGTTGGGATAAATCCAAGGTTCGTAGACTGACGCGAAGACATGCGATGCGATGCGAGAAGTGGAGGAAGCATTTGTGGGGAGAAAAGACGGTTGCGCAAAATGCACGCCGCGCACGATTCCGCAGGGAGTATACGCGGGATTCCGCCAAGGGGTGCGATAATACATATAGTCGCCGTGTGTTCCTTTGAACGTCCAGACAGCCCGGGCGATGAGAATATAGCCCACCCTCGTGTGCCGAGAGAGTTCAAGGCCGTTAGTCTCGCTACTACTACTAAGACGCATGGTCACTCGTCATTGCACTGTCTCGCGATTGCTACGTGACACTCGCGACCTACTCCTAGTATAGAAGCACTCGAGACGGAGGAGTCAGGAGTACGATCCTCAAAGTCTGTTTTCTTGTGAGACAGAAAAACCCTCTCGGCGGTCGACTTGGTCTCAACGACACTCAATCGGGACAACCATGGCGCCGCGACGTGTCGCCTTGCTCCTGCCGGTTCTGCTGCTGCTCGTCGTCAGCCTTCCTCCACCCACAATAAAGGCCACATGACAGATGTGGCCATCCCTGCTTGCTTGCGGGTGCGTGATAGGATCCTATTTGCTGCTTGTTATACCTTTCCTAGAAGAACTCTCCACATGCACTCACCCACCCCTTCACTTTCCCCCGTGCCTCTTTATTTATCCCTAAAATCACTACAACTTAGAAATGCCACAGGCTGCTTATCCCTATCTTCATTTGCCTTCTTGTTCCGACTTGTCCCTGTGAGTCCTCAACCTGCTTACCCGCTTTCTCTTCCTCTTGTTTTCCTGAACGTGCAGCAAGCACTTTTGGCCTGAGGTTTTGGGAATGACAGGAATCAAGGCCCGCGAGTATATTATTGCTTCCACGCCCCAGTGCCATTGGCAAGTGCAAATCATCCCTATCAACGCATATACCACCCCCGAATGTCGAGGAAAGCTTGTTCGGGTTTTTACCAATAAGCATGGGGTTGTACAGACGGTGCCAAGAACAGGCCCGTGCTAAGATGAAATGTACTGAGTCAAATTTGTTTTTAAAGGTAGAAAAAGAGTTGCAGTAATAATATGCTTCATATAGATAGTGCACAAGATTTCTGAAATAATCTGTGTTTGCTGGCAAGAAGAGCATGACAGTTTTGCATCGTGCTTTGATCAGAAGAAAGAGAGGGAGACGGGGGACGAGGGAGAGGGAGGGGAAGAGAGAGAGAGAGAGGAGGGAGGGCAAAAAGGAGGGAGAGACCCACAACAAGATTTCATTGGTGCCCACTTTCACCAGAATTCACAGCATGATTCCTATAATTACCTGTTTGTTATAGAATTGCTAAAAGTTGGAAAACGTTAAGATCTGTGTAAAGATTTACAGAATCCTTACTGAGGCACTCGTTAGCGAGGACATCCCGAGGGTCACGCGACGAACCTGTCCTTCCTATTTCGTCGCACCGAACCACTCCCGAGTCGCCTCCGCACCAATCGCAACCATCACCGAGCCATCCTCGCCCAACCTCCCCGCCTAGCTAGGACTTTCCCTATTTAGGCCTCGTCACTTTGTGTGTTCAGTCATTCAGTAATCAGTCATTCTCGTTATTCTTTATTCTGCGCACTCTGACAAGTTCATTCATAGCAATCTGTGACACCCATATTCACCCCACATGAATCAAACTCTGGCAGTTTCTTTATCGACAGCACAGACCAAGAGTGCCTACCAGCTGTATGGCCTTGGCTTGGCGCCGTCACAGCACACCAATCATGCACGGCTGCACACATCACTGTAGCTCACCAGGACCCCTCTGATTGGCCTGTACCCTCCCCCCGCCTCTCCTCCAATGCCCGGCTGCCCGTTTGTCGGTCACTCACACACACCCCCCGCCCCCACCCTGGCGGATTCTACGGATAAATTCTCGTCCTTATTTCCTTCACACCCTCCTCCCAAGTTCTCACAAGCCGACTTGGTTCGCTCTACGAATCACGACCGAGCGATTCTCTTTCCCGCACTTCATGTCACGCCGTAGATCTGCTCACCCTGTCACTGTTTCCCCGTCAACAACCACTCCTCGCGCTCATCTCCACGCCTTCCGCTTTCTGCGTTTCCTGCCTTCCCTACACGGGCCCCTGCTTTTTACCGCTGGGCCATAGTAGCAGCCTATCCTTCCTCGCACGTTAGCGCGCGCGCCATTCATGCACAAGTCGAAGGACCGAGTCGCGCCGCTGCTCTCGTTCGTAGCATCCCCGTCGCTCCGCGTGGCCCCCATCCCCTGCTCCCAGGGTGCCACTACCGGCGGGGGAGATCGCACATCGCAACCTGCCGCCAACGCGGTCGCCGCCGCCGCGGTCGCCGCCGCCGCCGCCTCCGCCGCCGCCGCTTCCGCTTACGCTGTGGCTGGCGCTGCTGGTCAGGGGAGAGCGGGATCCTCCTTGCTGCTCCCACCTGCACCCCGCGCAAGCTCCGCTGCTTCTTCCGCTTCCGCTTCCGCCTCCTCTGCGGCTGCGGCGACCACGGCGGCAGCACGCGCTGCGACGATGCCGGCGGCCGTTATCGGCGCCATCAACGGCGCCATTCACGCGGCCTCCGCGAGCAACTTGGGCCCTGCGGCTTTGTCGCGCAGCGGCCGCAGTGCGCGACTAGTAGCCGGGCAGCAGCGCAGCAGTTCACTAAACCGTATCGGGCGGTTGCTCAATAACGAGTCGCTCAGCAAAGTCGCGCCACTGCAGGCGGCGGCGCGCCTCGTGGCGCGGTCGCGGAGCAGCAGCGAGCTGGCAGGCGGCAGGAAAGCGCCGAACGGTGGGGTTACTACCAACGGATGGGGCGATCGAAGAAGAGTCCACAGCCTACTAGGCCGTGAGTGTTGCGGGCCGATTGGCGGAGCGACTGGCGGAGCGACTGGCGGAGCGACTGGCAGGACGGGTGACGGGGCGGGCGGAAGGAGCGGAGCGCGCAGGCATTTGTGGAGCAGCAGCAGTGGCGGGGCGAGGGGAGTCGCTGCCGTGGTGGGGGGAGGTGGGGGGTTCGGGGATGGGGATGGCGGAGGGGGGGTTTGGGGAGGGGGAGGGGGAGGGGGGGAAGGGGGTGGCGGTGGCGGAGGTGGAGGGGGAGAGGAGGGGGAGCATGAGGGGGTGATTGGCGGAGGGGGAAAGGTGTTGCTGGCGCTGCAGGCACTACGGGTGGGTGGGTGGGTTGAGAGGTGATGAGTGGACGCAAGATGGGAGAGTGGGGGGTTGCTGTGTGTTTGAAGGCGCAACAAGCCTCTCATGTTTGTATGCTCGTGCACACGTGGCAATGGCCTAGCATGCTATTCTGCCCACCATCAAATCCCCATCCCCATCCACCCTCCCCTCACCATTCGTCTGCTTATTCGCCCCTTCCGCCCACCCCGTCTCTCACACCTCCTCATTCTTGTATCTTGTCTCTGCGGCCCTTCTCCCTTCCCCTCCGCTCCCTTTCCCCCCTGGTTCCCCTTCTTTCGTCCCCGTTGTCGTGTGTACATGCAGGCCGCAGTGACGAACAGCAGCCTACTTCCCGTCATTCGTAAGCCTCTAATCCTGACCCTCTGATTCTCTTCTGCTCTCTCCTCCTCGTCCCTCCCTCCTCGCCTTTCCCTGCTGCGCATTCCCAGTCTGCACCCTTCCATTCTGCACCCCCAATTGGCCTCGTCCCCAAATACGAAACGAGGTGCCGCTGCGTAGGCTCAGAACCTTGCACACTGCTCCTAGCCGCTCCCTCTTTCCATCCCCGCGCCTCACCCACAGTAGTTTTCCCGTGTGAATGCACCTGCAGGTATCTGTGCAAGTGTGTGGGGAGGGGATAAGTTGTGTGAGGGAAGGGGTAGTGTTGTCTGATGGTGGGACCCAGTTTCCGCGCTTCCTCACTCACTTCCGCCCTTCCCATCCGCACCTTCCCCTCTTCCCTTCCCATCCGCACCTTCCCCTCTTCCCATCCCATCCGCACCTTCCCCTCTTCCCATCGCCGTGAATGCAGCACCCACACCATCCCCTGGCAAGGACAACAGCAGCAACGGCAGCGACGCAACCGGCAGCGACGGTGGCAGCCCGTCGAGCTTCCTCTCCGCACTGTCTGACCTCACCACCATGATCATTCCCTTCGCTCCTCCTCCATCCTCTCCCTCCCCTCCCTCCCCCTCCCCCCCCCTCCTCGCCCTCCTCCCCCTCCTCGCCCTCCTCCCCCACACCATCAAGCCAGGAAATAATCCCTTCCGCCACCTCCGTTGCTGCTCCCTCTGACCCCTCCTCCTGGCCTGCCTTTCCCCCCTCTCTTCCATCGCTCCCCCCTTTGCCCACGCTTCCGCCTCTTCCCAATCTACCCCCTCTCCCTGCAATGCCCATAATGCCCACAATCCCCTCGATGCCACCGCTGTTGTCGCTGCCCGATGCCATTGTGCCGGCCATCTCGTGGCAGAGGTACGTCCGCACGCATCCAGAATGGGGGGGCGGGGGGGCGGGGAGGCGGGGAGGCGGGAGGGTGGGAAGCGCTTGCGGATTGCTCTTTGGTCTGGCTCACACACATGCACATGCTCGTGCGTGTGTAAGTGGGGCATTCACAAGGGAAAGCAGCACCGATAAGCTTCTAGTCGACTCAAAAGGCGTCACTTGCTGGCTGCCCCTCGGTATCACACGCACACATGTAGTCCCTCGTGTGTATCGGACTTGCTGAATGAAAGGAAAAGCAGCACTGGTGGCGGCTGTGAGGGCTTTAGTGCATGGCGCCATTGTGTGCTATACCAAGGGCAGCAGCACAGTGATCGTTCATTCCCGTCCTTTCTCCACGCATCCCATCCGTGTCTCCCGTCACCTCTCTCCTCTCAAACCCTTTTTCACCTCTGAGCACGCCGCTGCACGCTGGTCCCAATTGCAATCCCACTCTTCTCTTCCACCCTGTTCCTCTTCCCCCATTCCATTTGCAATCCCACACTCCTTTTCCACCCCGTCCCTCGCTGTCCTCCCCAATCCCTCTCCATCCCTCCTTGTCCCTCCCTGGTCCCTCCCCTCTCACCCCATCCCTCCCCCCTGTCAATGGCGAGCAGCATAGTGGCAGCGTTGACCACGCTGGTGCACGGCTCCACCACGGACATAGGCTGGCTGGCCAACCACCCTAAGCTGCCTGCTGTCAGGGACCGCACGGACCAATATGCACGCACGCTGCGCCAAGTCATGTGAGTTGCTCTGCTGTTGTGATGCTCTTTCTGCTACTCTGCCGCTCCCCCGTGTGCCCTTCAGTCGACTCGAAAGTCATCTCTGTCCTTCTGCGTATTCTCAGTCTCTTTCTATAACCCCACGACCCGCAGTAACATCTCCTCTCCTATTCACGCCCCTCCTCCTGCATCTCTTGTCGATCTCCTCTCGCGCGCCATTCACTTTCGCACTTTGCACTTCGCGTTTCCGCACTTCCTCGCTTCCCCAGCTGCCCCATCTATGTCCATGCTGCTCTACCAAGCCTGCTGCCTGTCTATCTCTTACAAGCTTCTGCCCTCTTTCTTCTTGTCCTGTGCTTGTATGGCATGGCATGCGTGCGTGCATGTGTGTGTGTATGTGTGCTTGTCTCGGTGCAACTTTGTGTATATGGCCATGTGTGGGTAATCTTGTTCTGACCATGCCCATGCATATTCGCTGCTTTGCACGCGTGCATGCATGGTCAAATGCATGTGTGCATGCATGGTCAAATGCATGTGTACTTTCGTGCACGCATCCCCAATGCTGAATCACCAGGCAGGGCCATCACTCACTCCCTGACGATCTCATCTACCTCCTCATCCCAGGTGCACCCGCCCACCTGCATTCACGCCCACCTGCATTCACGCCCACCTGCATTCACGCCCCCCTGCATTCACGCCCACCTGCATTCACGCCCACCTGCATTCACGCCCACCTGCATTCACGCCCCCCTGCATTCACGCCCCCCTGCATTCACGCCCCCCTGCATTCACGCCCCCCTGCATTCACGCCCCCCTGCATTCACGCCCCCCTGCATTCACGCCCCCCTGCATTCACGCCCCCCTGCATTCACGCCCCCCTACATTCACTCCCCCCTGCATTCACGCCCCCCTGCATTCACGCCCCCCTGCATTCCCATTAAGTCATGACTCCTCGCACTGAAATCCCTCTGCTCTATACTCCCCACCTCCTTTCACGCCGCTCTCCCTGACGTCCCCATCTCTTGTACCTCTCCCAGTCGTTGTCTCTATGCCATTGTGGCCCATCCTTTCAAGCACACCGTATCTTCACCATACACATCCTCCTCCTTTCCTCTCTTCCAGGTGTGCACCCACCCACCATTAGCAAAAGACTTCCCCATGCACATACGCGCTCGTGATATATCACAAACCATCCCTCACTCCCATGGTGCATGCACGTAACTTTTGAGTCGACTCAAAAGTCAGCATGGTGCATGCACGTAACTTTTGAGTCGACTCAAAAGTCAGCATGGTGCATGCACGTAACTTTTGAGTCGATTCAAAAGTCAGCATGGTGCATGCACGTAACTTTTGAGTCGATTCAAAAGTCAGCATGGTGCATGCACGTAACTTTTGAGTCGACTCAAAAGTCAGCATGGTGCATGCACGTAACTTTTGAGTCGACTCAAAAGTCAGCATGGTGCATGCACGTAACTTTTGAGTCGACTCAAAAGTCAGCATGGTGCATGCACGTAACTTTTGAGTCGACTCAAAAGTCAGCATGGTGCATGCACGTAACTTTTGAGTCGACTCAAAAGTCAGCATGGTGCATGCACGTAACTTTTGAGTCGATTCAAAAGTCAGCATGGTGCATGCACGTAACTTTTGAGTCGACTCAAAAGTCAGCATGGTGCATGCACGTAACTTTTGAGTCGACTCAAAAGTCAGCATGGTGCATGCACGTAACTTTTGAGTCGACTCAAAAGTCAGCATGGTGCATGCACGTAACTTTTGAGTCGATTCAAAAGTCAGCATGGTGCATGCACGTAACTTTTGAGTCGACTCAAAAGTCAGCATGGTGCATGCACGTAACTTTTGAGTCGACTCAAAAGTCAGCATGGTGCATGCACGTAACTTTTGAGTCGACTCAAAAGTCAGCATGGTGCATGCACGTAACTTTTGAGTCGACTCAAAAGTCAGCATGGTGCATGCACGTAACTTTTGAGTCGACTCAAAAGTCAGCATGGTGCATGCACGTAACTTTTGAGTCGACTCAAAAGTCAGCATGGTGCATGCACGTAACTTTTGAGTCGACTCAAAAGTCAGCATGGTGCATGCACGTACAGTCCCAAATACTCTCCCTGCACGCACCAGGCTCCCTTCCCTTGCCCCATTTGGGATTCCTCGGCTTCTATCAATCCATGCCTCATGCGCACCGGACTGCAGAGCACGCATTGTATGTCCCACAAGCATCTCTCGCCCCTAAGCCTTGCTGCTACCACACCACGCCGTCTCCTGGCTCATCCCACAACGTCATGATTTCTCCTCTGTGTGTCTGCGCATGTGTTTGCACGTGTGTGTGTGTGTGTGTGTGTGTGTGCGCATGTGCGTGCATGTGCACATGTGTGTGTGTGTGTGTGTGCGGTGGGTGCATATGTGTGTGGAGCAGGGCTATTCAGCAATCTGAGTCCGCTGTATCTCTTGGACACCAGGGAGCACTTCTCCTCCCTCGGCCTCACATGTGAAATCGCCAAGATCGACAGCCAGGTGCGCTGCGCTGCACTTCACTTCCACAAACACACCTTCCATTCCCTTGCCTGCATGCCCCACTTCCATTCCGCCCCTTCTTTCCCCATCTTTCCCTTCCCTTTTTCTTCCCCCCCTCTTTCCCCCACCCACCCTCCACCTCCCCGCTGCTGCGTCCCCTCTCTCATGCCCCCACACCCCCCCTGTCCCTTGGTCCCTCACTCGTTGCTCACGAAGAGCGTCCCTTTGTAGCACTCATTCACTCTGCCAATCGCCAGTCCTGGGTCCTGTCAGTCCGTTCCCGTACCCTCCGCTCCCTACTCCCACCTCCCGCCTCCCGCCTCGCTCATCCCCCCTCCCTCTGCCTCTGCATTTCATGGCCCTCATGCCTCTGACTCTGACCCCCCGTCGTCATTACACCAGTGGATGTGTGGAACTCTTTTTAAGGCATCTCTATTTGTGCATTTTTCCCCAGGCGTCCTAAACCTCTAGTGTGTATGCACGTCCCATCCCCTTCTCATCACTCCCTGGCGGGTGTGGAAACCCAAGCAGCATTGAGCCGACTCCTAACTCGCTTTCAGTGCATGTGCACCGGAAATTTTGGGAACTCCTGCTTGTGTGTGCGTCCCTATCCCCCTCCTATGACACCAGGCGGGTGTGGAGTGGAGGCGAACGCGCGTGCTCTTAGCTGAGGGACACATGTGCTTTGAATTCACTCAGAACTCGCTTCCTTTGTGTATGCGCACCTCCCCACCCCATCCCATCCCCTTTTCATGGCACCAGGCGGGTGTGGAGGCAAGCACGTGTGTGCTACGAGACTACAAGACACAGTGACGGCGCTGCTTTGAGTCGGCTCAAAACACATGTGCCTTGTGCCTGTCCCCATCCCATCCCCCTTCCATGGCACCAGGCGGGTGTGGAAACAAACGCGCGTGTGCCGCGGGACACAGTGACAGCGCTGCTTTGAGTCGACTCAAAACACACATGTTCGCGTCCCCATCCCATCCATCCCACCCCCCTTTCATGGCACCAGGCAGGTGTGGAGGCCAACGCGCGTGTGCTGCGGGACACAGTGACAGCGCTGCTGGCAGGGAAGGCGGATGAGGGCGAGGAGATCTACGCCCATGGCTTCCCTTCCCAGGTCAGTGCCACCAGCGCCACTCACAGCAATGGGAGCAGCGGTGCTGCTGCCGGGGACGAGAAGAGTGCCAAACGACAAAGAGTGGGGGAGGGGGCAATGCGCAGCAAGAGTGAGACGGGCAACGCCAGCGGCACAGGAAACGGAGGGAACAAGAGCGGCAACGGGAGTGCTGACGGCGACAGCAACAGCAACAGGAAGCGGCGGGTGCTGCTGATAGGGCACAGCAAGGGCGGGCTGGATGCAGCAGCCGCACTGGCGCTGTTCCCGGCACAGTTGAACAGCAGCACGGTGGCGGGGCTGGTGTGCATGCAGAGCCCGTATGGTGGCACGCCCATGGCCTCCGACATTCTCCGCGAGGGCTCCCTGGGGAACGGCACTCTGCGGTCCGTGCTGGAGCTGCTGCTGGATAAGCTGTTCAAGGTCAGTGGGGGTTGGTGCGTGCGGGGTGGGTGGGTGGGTGCATGGGTGGGTGGGTCGGGGGGTGCATGGGGGGTTCAATGAGTGGGTGGGTGGGTGGGGGCTTTGGTGGGTAGAATGGGGTCAGGGTAAGGTGGTGCTGGTATTCTGGTGCGATGAAAGCGGTGTTTTGGTGGAATGAGAACGTTTTCTAGGAGAGAAGAAAACAATTTCGAAGAGAGATAGAAAGAAATTTCCAAGGAGAGATTGAGAACATTATTCGAGAACAGTAAGCCGCAAACCCCACGTGCTTTTTCCTACCTTGTCGCCACCATCAAACTCCAACCTCACTCCTCGCCCCTTCCCCATCCCTCCTTTTTCCTCCCCCATTCCTCCCCTTTCCTCCCCCATCCTTCCCGCATCCCTTCCCTGTTTCCCCCCGTCCCCCGTCGCCCCATCCCAGGGCGACATTCGCTGTCTTGAAGACCTAACCTACACGCGCCGCCACGCCTTCCTCTCGCACCACCCGCTCCCCCCCTCCATCCCGTGCCTCTCCTTCCACACCAACGCCTCCCGCGCCCCAGCAGTCATCGTGTCGCTCTCCACCATCACGCACACCGAGATCCCCTGGCTCGCCCGCACCTCGCAGAAGCTCGCGCTCGCCTTCCCTCTCTCCGCAGCCCTGGCTGCACTCTCCCTGTACCTGGAGAATCGTTATGGCGCGGAGAGTGATGGGCTGGTGACGCGGGCTGATGCGGAGGTGCCGGGGTCGATAGTGGTGCGCGCTAGGCGGCAGATGGACCATGGGTTCATGGTGTTCCCGTCCATGGGGCAGAGCCGCAGAGCAAATGGTGCAGGGGAGGAAGGGGAGGTGGGGGGTGGTGGCGATGTGGAGGGTGGTGGTGGTGGTAGCGTTGGGGATGGGAATTACAGCAGCAGCAAGAGTGGTGACAACGATGGCAGTGGCAATAGTGGTGGCAGTGGCAGCAGTGGTGGCAGTGTGCCGAGTGGCAGCAACAGCATCAGTAACATCAGCATGAGCAGTGATTTGCCAAGGGAAGCTAGGGGTGCTGCGGCTGCTGTGGGCGGTGCTGTTGCAGCAGCAGCGACAGGGGTTGTAGAGGGCACAAAGGACACGATGGGAGGAGACAGTGAGGGGGAGGAGGAGGTGGATGCCACGCCTGCTGAGATCTGTGAAGCCCTGGCAACGTTGCTGCTGGCTGAAACAAAGTGATGCGTGGTGGTGTCATGCTCCTGTGCTGCTCTGCTGCTGTGGTGGACACGTGCATGAGCTGAGCAGGACCATTACTACTGGAACTTGTGTACATATTGTGCAATGCAACATGGGATGGGATGGGTGGGATGCTTAGGGGGGACTGTGACATGACTCATTTTGGCCTGCCTTTTCTTTACAGTGGGATGAAATTTAGAGAAGGATTCAGTGTATTGTACCGTATGCCAATGCTGCTTGTTCGCTTTCGCTATTGCATTTGCGACCCCAAAGCACTGTAACCTGCCTCTCCTTGCTTAGGATGGGTTACACTAGGTACAAAGTGCAGTAGATTGTTTGAATTCTGCACTTCAGTGCTTGCCACTGAAATACAGCTGCCATTGCACTGGCAAAGTGAAGTAGATCTCAAACCCCCATGTGTTGTGCAGGGGGCAATGTTCCACACCATCCATCCATTCGCCCATAGTGTTTCCAACTGAACGAACGAATGCGATTTGGGACATGATTTTCAGAGGAGTGTGTAGTGCAGTTGTCATAATATCAAACAAAAAATCTCACACCCCTTAGTCATGGCAACGAACATGGAACCCCTCGGGGAGCTTTACTCGCTCCGAGTGGCCTTCCCTTGTCGCTCCAGCACCACAGCCACGTGGCACTGGGCACATGAGTTGGAGCCTATGGCAGCCATGACTATGTCAAACGGCTCCCCCACCGCTTTGAACATAACCTGCTGCCTCTGACCGTTGGGGTCTGACGCCCATGCTGACGTGGCAAGCAGCCTGTCGCCAGGCTGGATGGGTGGGTCTGCCTTGTCAGCGTTGCCACGTGGCACGAGCTCGTCCACTAGAACTGCTCCGTCGGGAGCCTCTGGTAGATGGTGTGGTGTGGTGCAGTGTGGTATGGTGTGGTATGGTATGGTATGGTGTGGTGTGGTGTGGTATGGTGTGGTGAATGGCATGAGATGCGAGGGAGTTTGATTTAGGAGGGGAACAGAGTGTGGGAGTGGTGAGAAAGAAGGGGGAAAGCAGGAGATGAGGGACGGTTGAGAGACAAAGGGAAGGAGGGAGTGAGAGTGAGGAGGGAGAGAGGAAGAGACTGATAGATGGAGAGAGAGGGAGAGGGAGAAAGGGAGGGAGAAGAAAAGTGGGACAGAGGGGGCGAGAGGGAGAGAGAGAGAAGAGACAGACATCGAACAGTGGGGCCACTGAAAGCGTTTATGAAAACAAGATTTATACAGAATAAGCATATACTGAAAGTCACATGTACAACCAAGCTTCTACTCAACCGTGTCGTCTACTCTCCAACTCCATCCCAATCCAGTTGTTGAAGGAAAACAACTCCCTAGCAGCAGAACAAGCTTGTTCTTAGACAGCAATCAATCACAAGTGCGACAAAATCAGCACATCTGTACGTCCATGCATGCCATGAGCAGCACTCAGATGCATTTCCCTGACAATGACCCTGTGTACATTCTAGCAGCGCCGACCCCAACCCACCTATCCCCATGCCCATCCCACAGCGAAGCGAGTCACTTCAACAACAATACATGCCGTCCCTTGTATACGCGTGCAGCTTATTCTCATCCCATGACCCTCTTATGTATCTCCTCCATGCTGACTTCTCCCAAATGAGTGTAGCTCGATGTCTTCCCTTTTTGGATTTTGTCCTCTCCCCATTTCTCGTCCTTCGTTAGTTCGCCCGTTTGCCCATTCGCCCATTCGTCAGCGCGTCTACAGGTCGCATTCGTCGGGTCGCTCCAGCACCAGGATGACATCTCCGCCGTACGATGCGTTCGACGAGATCGCCGCCATGACCGTCTCGAAGCGTTCGCCGGCGACGTTCAGCACCACCGGCTCCGTCGCCCACTTGGAGGCGCCGCTCGTCGCAGTGCTTCGCGCGGTCGTCGCCAGCAGGCGGTCGCCCACTCGCACCTTGTGGATGGGCGCGTGCTCCGCGTGTCCGCCGTGCTGCACGTCGTCCACTAGGATGTCGCCCGTCGCATTCTCTGACATCCATGGCACATCATGCGACATCATGCGACATGCGACGTGCGATATCATGCGACATCCACGAGCGAGAGTGGGTGCGAAAAACGCGCGGTTTTAGCTCCCATAGCACTCGGCTAGGCGAAGAAATGAGGGATTTAAGCCCAGCGTCGAAGGATGGAGAGTTAGCAGTGCGACATTCGTGCGCCATGCGACACGATGCGACATGCGACAACCCAACAAAGAAGCTTCGCGGTTTGGCGAGTCAATCCTATTCGTGCCGTGCCGGGCCGTACACCGAACCGCAACCGTGGACGAAACTGACATAAAGAGCCGACGTCGCAGGCCGAAGGGCTTCCACAGTCGACAGAAAGTTGCACCAAATGGCGAGAGCCAAAAACAAGGAGACCAACACTCCGTCGCACACTTACCATCGAGGATTTAACGTTGCGCCCCTCGTGCAGAGAACATACAGGCATTCAAGAAAAAACAAAAACAAAAAAAAACGCTTCTTGGTCAGAAAGACCGGTAAGCACGAGCGTTTCGCACGAGCGGCGCACCTTTAAAGACTATGCCGAGCGGCTTGCCGAGCGGGACCCAGTAGACCTCGCCGCCGTGCGACTCGACCTCGAGGTTCTCGCGGTGGTCGCCGAGGTTGACGCGCACGAGCACCTTCTCCTTATCCTCGCGATGCACGGACCGCTCCATCGCCACGCACGTCAGGCGCCGCGGCGACGCGCGCGTGACGACTGCGCGAGGAGCTCGCGCGGCGACAGGCGACGCGCGCGCAACCAGCTGGGACGACCATGCGAGGGAGGTTGGGGAGGCGAGAAGCGACGCCATTGCTTAGCGTAGAAGAGTCTGACGGGCCGGCGTGTCTGAACGATGTCGGAAGGCGTGACGCCCTTTGGAAATGCAAGCAAATCCTTCTGTCAACAAGATTCGGCAGTTCGTCGTGCTCTCAAAGTTGCACAGGCGCAAGAATGCAGGAGGCTGGGAAATGTGTGAATTGTGAAATGCAAGCAGCTCTACGTGCAAGAATTGGGCGGAGCGCATTTATGCAAATTTCGAACCACTACGTACCGGGCGGATAGGGGGAGGTGGGGGGGCGAGAGGGGGAATGCGCTCGCGTTTTTTCGGAATTGTACAAGGCGCACGAGGAGGTGCATGCGGGGGGGCGCAAGAGCCGATGCCAGCGCGGACGATTCGTGCCACCAAGATTCCTGGCTGGGCACGTTTCATTCTTGGCAATCTTCAAGGACGCTTGGCGGAGGTGCCACCAAGCGCAGCGCGATTGGGAGATGCCGCCAGAGCGCAGCGCGGTGACACCCTTGGGAGGAAGGAGTTGCCTGTGCCAGTTCTGAGTGTGTGTTGTACGTCCAGCGAGGCATGCCACGTCTGAAGAATCACGGAGTTGTCTGCTCGACCACGCGCAAATGACGTGGCAAGTAGTGTCGTCGTGTCATATGAATCTGGATTTCGTTTTCGACTACTCCGATACTTCATTGAGTGTCCCCCTATTTCAAGAGTCAACGTTAATCGTACTACAGATGAATGCTATACAACAAACGTCCTGCAGTGATACAGATATGGACATTTATATTAGCTCATTCACATAGTGTAAATCAATAACAGAGTTTGACACTGCTATTCCAATTCATCAAAGGACGCATGAGGCCCATAAGTACATCCAGGCGCATCAACATCCATGGCCCCGCAGCAGTCCCAGAATCTGAGGAACCCTGTGCCATGCACCACACTTAGCTGGTCCTCCGGGCGGCTGCTGGCTCTAGTGAACCCCACGGCCTTGCCCCACTCTCCCCCTGTGAACAGCGCAGGGTGGTACCTGAGAGCAGGGTGGGAAGAGGCGAGGACAACCAAGTATAACGTGTCTCAAAAAACCTCTCACTACTGCAGAGGCGCCTCAAAAGCATCTCATTTCACGGGGTGTGTGGAGGCGGCAGGAACTTGAGATGTAGTGGGAATTTGAGGGGAGCAGAACGGCTTAAAAAGAAGAGTGGTTGACTTGAAGCAAGGAGGGAGGAGAGAGGGATGAAGCACCAGCACTAGTACTACTTGAGCATCACCATTGGAATGCATCACATGGCAGCAGCACAAGCAGCATTAGAACATCCCTCACATGGACGCCAAAGCCACAAATCTAGCGAAGCTGGTGATGCTGGCCGCAGGAGGGTGACAGTCGGTGGAGGGGAGGGAGAGATGGCACATCCATGCCAGGGAAAGAGGACCTTGGGGTTGATCGGGCCACATCAGCTGCTTCGAATAATACATCTTCACGCTCTCGCGAAGAAAATCAGGCTCGTTTCACGTTTCTGACGTCCATACCTCCATACCTCCGCGTCTGCACGTCTCCCCGCCTCTACTTACACGCGCGACCCCCTGCCATCCCACCTGCACGCGCGTGCGTGGTTTCGACGCGGATCGTACGCCTCTCTGCACCGTCGGCACGTCTTCGTCTCGCCGCTCCCACTCCCCGCCACCGCGCTCAATCCCGCTGCCCCGCCACTCACGTCCTCGCGCTCTCCAGCTGCGGGGCTGGCCGCGGCGGTGCGATCGTGCGCCGGTCCGCCTCCCCGCGCCACCGTCGTCGCCCTAACCGCGCCTGCTCGCGCCTGTGCTGCGAATGTGCGCGCGGAAAGCCGCGGCAGGACGGCGGAGTGTGACGGCGGCGGCAGAGGCGCGGAGGTGCGCAGTGCGGTCAAGTGCGGCTGGGGAATGGCCCGCGTGTTCATTGTCGAGAATCCCGCGACGACGAAGACGACGGTGGAGGCGTGAAACGTGTGTTCAGAAATACGATAGACACAAGTTCGGGTCAAATGTGAGTGAAAGGGGAGGGAGGGAAATGTGAGTACACAAGATGCTCAACCCCTGCGCGCGAAATTGCCTTGCCCAAAAAAGAAAGTCTGCCCCCGTGTTTTTTTCCCCGGGCAGTTGCACCTTGTTTATAAGCGCATGTGCCACTTGTATGTGGGTGGCCACAAGACAAAAATTACACATGTGCTTAGTGACAAAAGACGTCGGCCCTGGGTATTCCTGTTTTGAGGCCCGAGACAGACTCCGCGAAAAATGTGGCGGAGTGAGTTATGACGTCGCGCACAATTTCGCCCATGACTGTACGCCACGTCGATGCGGCTCATCGTGCACAATGCGCCCTTGCACCGCCACGTGTACATTGCCGATGTTGGATAGAAGCCCAACTGTGTCCACAAATTGCAATTATGCACACGTCACCCGCTGTGGTTACAGATACATGTGCGACTAACAAGCACGTTTCCGGAAATATTCACTCCGCCAGAAAGTGTTACAGGCCCAAATGTGGCAATATTCACTCAGCTGAATGTTGCCCCATCCCCCTACGGCTCCGCGAAGAAACACACTCGACATTGAGTCAGCCGAGCACTGGCACTTGGGCATAAATTGGCACGCAAATTAGTCACCAACACACAGACTTACTCACTAGTTTAGCCACCAACATGCCGCGCCTGTTTCGCCGCTCTCAGGTTCCCGTGCACATTAAGAGGGCAATCTGTGCCCATCATGTCAGTAACCCCCGCATGCGCCAGGTCGACCTGGCGCGCTGGTGCTTTACCCGTTTCGGCGTCCGCCCTGATCGCTCGACCATTGGTCACGTGCTCAAAGGAGCCGACCGTTGGAGCGCCGTCTCCAACGACGACAACCCCGTCCGCGTGCGTGGCGGCGCATTTCCGCAGCTTGAGCAGGCTATGGTGCGCTGGATTCGCAACGCCGGGCCCGCGGGTGTGCCGCTCACCTTGATTACTATCCGCGACCACGTTGCTACCATGGCACGCGGAATGGACCTACCGCCTACCTTCCGCTGCTCCGTGGGGTGGGTTCGCCGTGCCTTGCGCCGCAACGGCATTCGGTGCCGCAGCGCAGTTGGGGAGGCCGCCGACCAGGACCACGCCGCGGTCCGTACCTGCCAGGAGCAGCTCCCGCAGCTCCTCATGTATCTCTCCCTCCGTCCGCGCGACGTCTACAATTTCGACGAGACGGCTCTGTTCCTGTCTGTCTTGCCGCGCAAGACGTACGGCGGGTCGCGCGTGCCGGGGCGTAAGCTGGCGAAGGATCGCCTCACGGTCGGGTTGCTCGTTAACGCGGATGGCAGTCACGCGTTCCGGCCTTTGATCATCTCCAAGTCCAAGCGCCCTCGCGACTTTCTGCCCGACTACGACCCCGAGGACTTGTGCTACTGGCGTCACAATAAGAAGGGATGGATGAATGCGCAGTTGTTCACTCACTTCATCGGCCAACTCAACGCCGCCATGGTCGCCGAGGACCGCCACATCGCCATCCTCTTGGACAACGCAAGCAGCCACGTGCTGAAGGACGACGATGCCACGTCAGAAGACCTTTTCGGCTTCCGCACTCGCATCGTGGGCAACATCCGGCTTGTCTTCTTGCCGCCCAACACTACCGCCTTCACGCAGCCGCTTGATCAGGGTCTGATCGCCACGACGAAGGCACGCTACCGTCAGCACTGGCTTCGCGCGGTCACGGCACTGTGGCAAGATGCTGGCGCCTTTCCCGTGATGGCGCGTTACCGCCCCAACATGCGCGATGTCATCGCATGGCTCTCGGAGTCATGGATGAACATCCCCGTGCGTACGATTCAGAGGTGCTGGTGGCGCACGGGGTGCATGCCACGCTCGTGGGCCATGGACCTCGCGCATGTTGGCCTGGACGGTCTCGCCACGGTCGGCAACGGCGTCAATGCCGCTCTCCCAATTGACCTCGACGAGGACATCGGGGATGTCGGCATCATGATCGCCCGTCTTGGCCTCGGGCCTAGCGCCATGCCGGCCGCCGCCTTCGTCGCCATCGATGACGACCACCCCACGTGCGCCGAGCCGGGCGAGGACCCGCTCGCCCTAGAGCCGCCGACGGGGTATTCGGGCGCGTCATGGGAGCCTCCATCCAACATGCAGGCCGTCTACGACGACGACAACCCAGAGAGCCGCGAGGCGCGGCGTTACGCACGTGCGGCGAGCGAGATGCTCATCGGTTACGCACGTGCCACCGGCATCACGCCGCGTAACCTTTGTGCGCTGTTCGAGATTAAGAACCCGGTCATCGTGGACCGCATGGAGCGGGCTAGCCCCCCAATGAACCTGAATACTGCGCCAATCCCCGATCCCCGGCATGCTGCGTCCCCCGCGTCCACTCCCACGCAGGTTCCTGCCACGACCGAAGATGCGGCATCCCTTCGCCGCCGCGGGCGCGTTCTGCCTGCGTGGATGTATGCACATGCTCCCACCCGCCAGCAGCTGATTGACTCTGGCGTGAGTGCCGTCATGAACGGCTATGTAGACGCGGCTGAGTGGATGACCCTGTGAAGAGTGATGCGAGTTTTGGGGTTTAGGAGTTGGAATCTCCTCTGAGCACATTTGTGCATATCTTGTGCACAAATGTGAACTGTGTCTAGCCCCGTTACACACTTCATTTGCGCATGTGTGCGTCTGGTATTGGCCGAAATGTGGTGGTTGCATGTTCGTGCCTGTTTGTGTGTAATTCTGTAATCGGGAGCTACGAAAATGGGAAAATGTGGTGGTAACCCTGGCAACACACAACAAACAACCACAGCCAACCAGCAATGATTATGTTTAACTTACCCGAGAAGTTACACGTTCCAGTTAAACGCCCACCATGCCCGTGGCGACATGCACGAAATCCCGCGAATTGTCAAAAACACTTACAGACCCTCATGGTAAGGCAAGTATGGGGGACTCAAACGCGCAACAGGTGTAACTCGACAGGAAAGGTTGGGGGGCAGGAAAGGTCGGGTTCAGAACTCCAGAGCGTGTACGGTAGTGTTCAGAGCGGTACTGCCAGGTTCCTGGCTGAGATTTTGGCGAACGTCGCCAAATCGATCAAGTGTCCAGGGTGCATGGTTTTGGGAATTCATCCTGAATTGCGTCGTCGCCCTTGTTCGCAACCCTTTTTTGCGATTACGACAGCGGTGCGACGAAAATTGAGTGGGATTGGGCTACACGGGTGGTTTGGAGTGGTGATGATTGGTGAATCGTGGCATCCAGCATGAATTGCACGCCGCTCCTGCTCTTCCTTTCCGTTTCTCCAAAACAAAAACTCGTTTCCAGGCTCCAGCCCATCTACTGTGGTGTGAGTTCATGCGCTATGTTATGACAGGCACTATGCATCGCGATATCAATGCCGTGTCAGCCACGCTTCGCCCGCGCGCCTTGCGCCCCGCACTGCAACACTGCCCTCCTTTCTTGCACCGCATCGTCGCCTCCTCCTGATCGCCTCGCTCGCTCCTCGCCTCGCGTCGCGCGCCGCAACCCCCGGCGCCCACTGGGCGTGACGTGCCAGAAAGTGGCAGCAGCAGTGCCGCCGCGCCTTAACCCATTCCCTATTCACCGCGATTTCCGCTCGTCTGTGTCGTCACGGCCATTACGCTTGCGGCTCAGCACGTGTGCCACGCCTCGCCACGTGTTGCCTCGCCTCGCCGCGACGCGTCATGGATTACTACGCCGTGCTGGGCGTGCGGCGCGACGCGAGCTCGCACGAAATCAAGGTGCGACGATGCCTCTCCTTCCCCTCCCGCCCCACTTTCCCCGTCCGTTTTCCCCCCCTCCCCACGCACCCCACTCCCCCACAATGATGCGGCATGCTGCGAGCCGCTGCTAGCATTATGCCACGCTGGTGCCATCCCTAGACCGGGCTGCTGCTCTCTTCCGCACAGTTCCTCCAAATCGCGTCTGCCGAATTTCGCGGGATGCGGATTGCGGATTGCGGGAACAGTGCGCTGGGCACTGGAGAACAACAACGGCGCGACCCAGCAGCTCTTGAGGCGCCTCAAAACGCGGCCCAGCAGCTCGCGCTGGTGCAAGCTAAAGGGCACCGCAGAACGGGCCTGTCACCCCAGCTGCAACATGGAACGCCCCTCTCGCGCATGCCACCCCATCCACCCGCACGCCCCTCCGCGCACCATCCGTCTGTATCCTCTTGCCTCGCCTCTCCGCGCAACCCTGCTTTGCGCATGCATCTCGTCACGCGCATGCATCTCGTCACGCGCATGCATCTCGTCACGCGCATGCATCTCGTCACGCGCATGCTCCCTCCGCCACTCCCTGCCCCGCTCGTTCTCCACCTTCTCATCTCACTGGCTCCCCGTTTCCCCCTCTTCTTCCTTCCTTCGCCCCTCCCTCCCTCCCCATCCCTCACGTTGCTCTTCCTCCCTCCCTTTTTCTGTCCCCCCTTCCCCATGCAGCATACAAGTGGAAGTCCTTAAAGTGCCACCGCGCCCCCCTCTTCGCCTTCTCTTCCTCCTCTATCCCCCTTCCCGTCCCTCCCTCTACCCCCCACCCACGCCCCCCAGTCAGCGTACTGGTGGAAGGCCATTGAAGTGCCAACCTGACCGCGTTTCCCCCTTCTGACCCTCCCCCATCCCATTATGGCCCTCCCCCTCCTTCCCCCGCCCGCAGGTAGCGTACAGGCAGCAGGCCATGAAGTGCCACCCGGACCCCCTCCCCTTCCCTTCCCCCTCAATCCCCCCTCCCGCCTCCCTTCCCCTTCCCGTCCCTCTCCTCTCCCACTATCCTCCCTCCCCCCCACCCTCCCTCCCCTCCCACCAGGCGGCGTACAGGTGGCAGGCCTTGAAGTGCCACCCTGACCCCCTTTCCTCCTCCCTTGCTCCTCCCACCCCTCTCCCTCCCTCCCTTCCCTCCCACTGTGCTCCTCCCCATCCTTCCCCCGCACAAACCCCCCCTCAGGCGGCGTACAGGCGGCAGGCCATGAAGTGCCACCCGGACCGCGTGCATGCTGCTGGTAAGGGCGCCACCAGGGGCGCACAGGACGCCGCTGCTGCTCGCTTCCGAGCCATCGCCGAGGCGTATGAGGTGGGGTGGGGTGGGGGTGGGGGAGGGAGAGAGGTGGGTGGGGGGAATGGGGAGAGGTGGGTGGGGGGAATGGGGGTAAGGGGGAGTGAGATGGGAATGGGAGCCAGGTGGCAAAGGGTAAGGGAGCTCGGAGAGGGTGGAGTGGAGCGAAGGAGTCTATAGGAGAGGGGCGCGGATTTGGAGTGCAGGAGTGAGGTTGCTTGCAGGGTGAGGTTGCTTGCAGGTGGAGCGGGTGGACGAGACAAGGGGTCGAGACAAGGGGTCGAGACAAGGGGTGGTGCAAGGCGCAAATGGGACAGTGTGGAAAGGGTCGTGTTGGTCTCTGCATGGCATGATATGATATGATCTGATATGATGCTCCATGGGGCTGGGAGTCAATCTGGGACCATCCCAGATATGACTGGGATTCTCCGGTCGATCGGGAAATAGGAGAATCATTCATATCTAGGACGAGGCTTGACTGGCTTCTCCATTGCCAGTCAAGCCTCGTTCAGCCCAATGTGTTGTGTCCCTCACACGGCTGTCCTTCCCTTCTTTCAGATGATGCCAGCCCTGATATGGCTCAAGAGTCACAAGGCAATGTTGTCGTGAGTGTGCCTTGACTGTTCTTTCCCTCTCTCGCTCACTTCCTCTCCTCCCTCCCAACCTCCTCCTTTTCAGGTGCTGGGAAATGAGGCGCGCAGGCGTGCATACAACAGCCGCCAGCACGCATGGCGGCAGCGGGCGGGCCATGGGGGCACATGGGACTCGTGGCGGAGGCAGCACAGCCATGCAGAGTGGGATGCCGGGCGAACGGACGGTGGGCGTAGCAGCAGTGGCGGCAGTAGTGGCAGTGACAGTTACTGGAAGCAGGAGCAGTATGGGTGGCAGCAGCAGCACCACCGGCATGGGCAGCAGAGGTGGCAACAGCAGGAGACGGGTGGAGGGGCGTGGGGGCGTGCATGGTGGAGGTGGGGGCGAGGCGGATGGGTGGCGGCAGTGAGCAGAGGCATGGGACCTGCTGACCTCGCCTTCCATGCTGCCATTGGCAGGTGAAACGCATGAACTCTTGATTGTGCTGTGCTGTGGTGTGAGTGAGGAGGGTCCGTGCAGGCATGCCAGCCATAGAGTGGGGCGCTGTGCTTCGCTGGGCTGGGCTGGGCTGGGCTGGGCTGTGCTGTGCCGTGCAGTGCTGTGCTGTGCTGTGCCGTGCTGTGCTGTGCTGTGCTGTGCTGTGCTGTGCTGTGCTGTGCCGTGCTGTGCCGTGCTGTGCTGTGCTGTGCTGTGCTGTGCCGTGCTGTGCCGTGCCGTGCTGTGCTGTGCTGTGCCGTGCTGTGCTGTGCTGTGCTGTGCCGTGCCACAGTGGTTCCATCATCCCTTGTCTGCACCTCATCCTGTGCTCGTACAGGCCACCACATCAGCCGTGCACCACAGCTTCGCTATTCTTTGCAAGGTTCTCTGCTTGTTGAGGTTCTTTTACCCATTCCTGATGCACCAGTACCACCATCCACCCACCCACGTGTGCCTGTGTGCGCCCTGCAGCCTTATTGTGGGCGGGCTAGTGCTGGGCGGCTCAGCTGGGGACTACCTATGGGCCTCGGCCAACCGAGGGGTGAGTGCTGCGGGGTTGGTGGGATGCGGCCTGTGCGGCTTCAAGGTAAGTTGGGACTGAGCAATGCAGGTTGGCAGAGTTGGAATCGAGATGATTGGATTTCATTTGCGGTACCGTATGTGTTTCGAGGCTCTGGCGCTGCTGTGACAGATGGATGCCATGCCATGCCGTGCCATGCCGTGCCATGCCGTGCCATGTCGTGCCATGCCGTGCCATGCCGTGCCATGCCGTGCCATGCCGTGCCATGCCGTGCCATGCCGTGCCATGCCGTGCCATGCCGTGCCATGCCGTGCCATGCCGTGCCATGCCGTGCCATGCCGTGCCATGCCGTGCCATGCCGTGCCATGCCGTGCCATGCCGTGCCATGCCGTGCCATGCCGTGCCATGCTGTGCCATGCCGTGCCATGCCGTGCCATGCCGTGCCATGCCGTGCCATGCCGTGCCATGCCGTGCCATGCCGTGCCATGCCGTGCCATGCCGTGCCATGCCGTGCCATGCCGTGCCATGCCGTGCCATGCCGTGCCATGCCGTGCCATGCCGTGCCATGCCGTGCCATGCCGTGCCATGCCGTGCCATGCCGTGCCATGCCGTGCCATGCCGTGCCATGCTGTGCCATGCTGTGCCATGCCGTGCCATGCCGTGCCATGCCGTGCCATGCCGTGCCATGCCGTGCCATGCTGTTGCCATGCTGTTGCCATGCCGTGCCATGCCGTGCCATGCCGTGCCATGCCGTGCCATGCCGTGCCATGCCGTGCCATGCCGCGCCATGCCGCGCCATGCGGCGCCATGCGGTGCCATGCGGTGCCATGCCGTGCCATGCCGTGCCATGCCGTGCCATGCCGTGCCATGCTGTTGCCATGCTGTTGCCATGCCGTGCCATGCCGTGCCATGCCGTGCCATGCCGTGCCATGCCGTGCCATGCCGTGCCATGCCGCGCCATGCCGCGCCATGCGGCGCCATGCGGTGCCATGCCGTGCCATGCCGTGCCATGCCGTGCCATGCCGTGCCATGCCGTGCCATGCCGTGCCATGCCGTGCCATGCCGTGCCATGCCGTGCCATGCCGTGCCATGCCGTGCCATGCCGTGCCATGCGGTGCCATGCTGTGCCATGCCGTGCCATCCCGTGCCATGCCGTGCCATGCCGTGCCATGCCGTGCCATGCCGTGCCATGCCGTGCCATGCCGTGCCATGCCGTGCCATGCCGTGCCATGCTGTGCCATGCCGTGCCATGCCGTGCCATGCCGTGCCATGCCGTGCCATGCCGTGCCATGCCGTGCCATGCCGTGCCATGCCGTGCCATGCCGTGCCATGCCGTGCCATGCCGTGCCATGCCGTGCCATGCCGTGCCATGCCGTGCCATGCCGTGCCATGCCGTGCCATGCCGTGCTATGCCGTGCCATGCTGTGCCATGCTGCAGTGCCATGCCATGGGTCAAGTGGCTTGCTGCAACATGCCATTTCATGCGATGTTGCCGACATCTTGTGTTTCCAGTCCTCGTGCGTTTAGGTGGTCTGAAAGGGCATTTACCACCATTGCTGACACCGCTGTTTATCCCTGCCCCTCCCACTGCCTGTGACTTGGGTTAGCAGAAATCATTTGAGGAGGCGATGGCAAGAATAGGTACCACTAGGGCAGCACCTCCTGTGGCAAATGCTGACAATGCTGATGCCCAAGACACCGGATGGGGCACATCGCCCTCGTAGATTTTATTCTTCTTGAAGTTCCGCATTTGGTGGTACCGTATGTCGAAAATAGTCAAGTGTACATGGTACAATAAGGTATGGTACAATAAGGTTTCCAGCAGGGCCTAAAATACTGGTATCAGAATACGTTAACATTCCCTTTTGACCCTTTCTTTTGGCCGCTTTTCAGTAGTTACTGTACCCTAATCCAGGCATTGTAAATATGTGATCTTACGTATACTCTTAAGAAGCACTGGGAAGCGCCTGAGTCCAATGTGAAGGAGAGCGACGCGACAGCAGTCGTCACGGCTAGACTAGTGACTACACAATCACCTTCACTAAAAGCACATGTACCTACACTACCAAAAAGCAAAGGTCATAAGCTAGGTGCACGCAAGCCAAAAGATTCATACGTGACAAAATAAACAGCATCCATAGACATATCAAACACGGGTTACCCATCTAAGACAGACCGGCCAAGAGCGGTGGCCTCGATTCAGGCCCAAAACGCTATGCAGAGTGGTCAAGACGCCAGCAGGTAGTGCCAGCACCAAGGCCCGTCAATATCCGGTACTGGTAGGGGCCGCTGGCTGGGCCGTTGGTGCAGCCAACGCTACCCAAACTGTCAAACTATAATTGTTATGGTTTGTATTTGCTAGTCTAGGTGGTGTACACTTATGTTTAGGGTTCGCTAGGGTTGACCAGGGTTTGTTATATCTTCCTTGTCTTTGCCATTTCTAGTCATTCTTTATTCCGTTACCTCGTTGACATGGTATAGAGCAGTTCGATTCCCATGGGCCCACCGCCCCGCGCTCGCCCGTTAGTAACGCGTTACCCGTAGTGCCCCGTCACCCCTTAGCGTCAGCCCCCTCCCCGTTGAATCGCGCGCTAGAGAGAGACCCCCACGCCCCCCCCCCCCCCACGCCACGTCCTAGGAAGGCCCTCGAGGGCCCCCGAGTCGCGAGTTAGAAGGACCCCTGCGGGTCCCCCACGTCGCGACCTAGAAAGGCCCCCGCGGGTCCCCCCACGTCGCGACCTAGAAAGTGTTGGAAACAATCGGTCCTAAGCGCCTCTGTCGTGTCGAAACACTAAGACACAAAAGAAACGAAGTATAACGAATCACCGGCGAGTCAACCCTCGGAGGTTGAAAGTAACTGTTGGAGGTTACGCGAAGGTCAGCGACCTTTGACCTGACAAATACAGCGCGACAGCAAGGACACACAACTGACTCGCTACAGAGCAGTTGCCCGAGTCGTCACTGTATCAAACCACAACAGCAATATAGTTATAACAGCATCTCTTCGTATTCCTTGTACTCATATATAAACCTGTATCCACCTGTTTTAATTAGCTTACTTTGCCCTCACATACTAGCGCAAGGTGGTTCACAACCCTTTAATTAACGCTTCCGCTACTACACCAACTCTACCCAGAGTTCACCCCTGCAAAGATCCTAAGGGTTTTTCAGCCCAACATGGTATGAGAGCAATCAGGGGGAATTCAACTTCTATACCGACAATATCAATCAGCATGGCTATACAAAAGGAAAGGAGCAACTCCAACGGCTCCCAGGGCACTACTCCTACTCCACCTCCTGCCTCTGGTCTACAGACGGAGGAGGGCACGGCAACAAGACCCAGAGCAACATCTACCGAGACTCCTGCGAATCAACCTGCAGACTTCGACCAGAGCATGATGGAGAAGTTTTCTCCTTCATGTCCTTCTACGAGCAACACCAGCAATCGGCACCTGCGCAGTCACACAACAGCAACAACAACGGAGCAACACCCATGAGTCTCGACGGCTCATCATATGGACGAGGAAATCAACAACAGCAGCCTACCTTTGCTCCGTACGAGCGCGAATCCATCAGCTTTATGCCACAACCACAGCCTTCACCTGGACAAGAAAAATCACTGGACGCATTACAAGTTCAGTCGCAGTTCACACACGTTCTGAAGATGCAGACGTCAAGACCCTTCGATGGAAAGGACTTCTTCACCTAGTCGTTCGAGTTCGAGGTGATGATGGAAGGCGCGCAGATACTCGGGTTCTTTGACGGGTCTCTACCATACCCAACAAACGGCACACAGTACGAGAAGCAGCAGTACACCTATCAGTCAATGATGGCATACACGATCCTACTGAGGAATATCACCCCGACTCAACAGCAGAACATAAGGTCTTACCGAGGTTACGGCAACTCCGCCGAGCTCACGTACAACCACCTGAAGAGCCTGTATCAAGCAACAGACAGCGTAAGCCAAAGTCGATTAATGGCGCAACTAACAACGGTTGAAATGAAACCAGGGGAGAAAGGAATGGCGTATATAAGTCGATGTCGCGAGTTGCCCGACAAGCTTCTTCGATGCGGAGGGTCGATTTCTGAAGACGCCTTCGTGACAGTCATCATCGGTGGCTTCGGTCCTCAATGGCGCGCCACAAAGGCCATTCTCCGAGCTCACGTAAGAATCTCCGAAGCAGCGCTCTGCGCCAAAATCCACGCCGAGCAGCAAGACATGGACCTGCAAGAAGAACGACACAAAAAAAAGACATCAGCACCGGAATTCGTGTTCCACACTCAGCGACGCTACAACAACAACAACAACCGGCAGCAACAACGAGCAAGGAAGTAGCGAAGAGCAATGTGCTTCGTTCTGTGCTCCAGTCTCTGCTCTCGACACAAGGCCAGCATGGCCTTGTTGTCTACGTACAACACTGGAGGAGAACGAGGCGGCTCTCCGAGGTCAGTCAGCAAGTAGGTGAGCCAGCGAAGCTCCTGAGCAGCCATGGCCCCGGCGTAGATCTCAGCCTCACAACTGGAGCCGAGAACAGAAGACAAGCGGGTAGCCCGCCACGAAACAGAGCCAGAACCAAGGCTGAAGGTGTAACCCTGTGACGACCGCTGCGTAGCCTGGTCGTCAGCCCAAGAAGCGTCTGCGTGCCCAGTGAGAACCACTGGACTCTGCCCTCCAAGCACAAGCCCCATGCCCGACGTACTGCACAAGTAGCGCAACACCCTCTTCACTGCAGCCATGTGCTCCGGTCTGTGTCTCCCAGGAGCAACATAGCGTGCGAGAATGCTAAGAGGGTATGCAAGGTCAGGTCGAGTGCAGGTCATCAGGTACATGAGGCAGCCAACAAGCTCTGGGTACGGGCCACTCGACTCTACGGACTCATCCGAAGGCAGAGCTGAGAGCGAGTGGCGAGTAGGCAGAGGAGTGGCCTGAGGCAAGGAGTACGTGAAGCCGAAGCGCTGAAGGACCTGCTGCACGATGTGTGACTGAGTCAGGGTAATGGTGCGGCGTGCTCTGTCCCGGGTGATCTGCAAGCCAAGGTAGCTGCGCAATTCACCCAGGTCTGTGCACATGTGTCTCTTCTGCAGCTCGGACTTCATGTGGGCGAGTCCAGCAGTGTCAGCTGTGGCAAAGACCAAGTCATCGACGTACACGAGGATGTAGAACGGCGGCAAAGAGGTGTCGGTGCGCAGAAACAGCGACGGGTCGGCAGTAGAGGGAGCAAACCCAAGAGCCGCAAGTGTAGTCCTTAGTGTGTCGTGCCACTCACGCGGTGCCTGGCGGAGACCGTAGACTGGCCGCCGGAGGCTCAACTGGGTGCCAGGAGGAAAAGACCCAGTGAAGCCAAGTGGGCGACGCAGCCAGATCTCCTCGTGCAGGCTGCCCTCCAAGAAAGCAGTGCTGAAGTCAAGAGAGTGCAGCTCGTAGTCACGATGAGCAGCTATGTGCAGCAGTACCCGAAGAGTGGTCATCTTCGGGGTGGGAGAGATGGTCTAAAAGTAGTCAACTCCCTGCTGCTGACTGAAGCCATGAGCCACGTAGCTCGCCTTGAAGACAGGCGGAGAACCCGACGGCCGCTTCACCCTTAAAATCCACATGCCACTGACGATGTTCGCCCCAGGCGGGGGAACCTCGTCAACATAAGTGCCTTTGGACTTCCAGGAAGCCATCTCTGCGTCCATAGCTGCGTGCCACTGAGAGGAGTAGGGACCCTCTATCGCCTCCGCGTAAGAGCGCAGAGTCGGGATGTCAAGTGCATCCGGGTCTCCCTCAGGGGTAAGCTGTACGGACACGAGATGAGGTGAAGCAGCAGCCAGACACTGGAACTCCTCCTGCCTGTCCTCAAGGACGTCCGTGCCCAGGGCACACTCACCCCCGACGGACGGAGGACAGACAGACTCAGACTCAGCGACAAGACTAGCAGCGTAGTCTAGACGACAGCGAGCAGCAAAGTCGACGAGCTCAGTAACTAGGGCAGACGCAGCAGTGGACTCAAAGGAAGGGTCAGTGACGACAATAGCAAGGAGACGCGTGAGAGTAGGACTTGCAGCACGAAGAGAGTCCGACTCCGGGTCGGCAAGAGCAGGAAGAGAGGACTCAAGAGGAGAAGGCAAAGGGGCACGCAGAGGAGCAGTGGACGGACGCAGAGACATCCGGTGCGTGCCAGGGACAGGAGGAGGACGCTGACGCGAACCACGACCACTAGTGCGAGCAGGGCGGACAGGCGACGCAGGGCGAGACGCAGGCTCACGACGCTCAGAAAGACCTCCAGTAGGACCAGTGTAGAGAGAAGGAGCAGGTAGCGGGGAGGCCGGCTATAACTGTGACGGGACAGGCTGTGGACACTCTAAGGGAGGAGAAGGACCAGCAAAAGGCGCAAGACCAAGAACCTGCTAAAGGAGCGGAACGAAGTACGGCCGAGGCCGCGCGGTGACTCTAGACACACCGGGGACAGCACCAGTACCCCCAGCGGCAGCACCAGCGCCAGGAGCACCTCCAGCTCCAGTACCTCCAGCAGCACCAGTAGGACCGCCTCCAGGACCGACAGCAGTAGCCTCAGCACCAACACCCTCAGCAGCTCCAGCTCTAGTCGCACCCGCAGGCCTAGCAGCTCCAGTACTCCCAGCATGAGCACCTCCAGGACCCGCGGCACCAGCACCCTCAGCAGTCGGAGAACCTCCAGCTCCAGCAGCACGCCTCCAGCGCCGGGCAAACCACTCACGC